GGGGAAGGGGGGGTCGGGGAATAAGAGCTGCTAGTTCTGAGTGAAAGCAGAGACAGACATGTCCCCAGGGTAGAACCACCAGACCTTCGGAGGAAAGGACTCAATCACAGGATTTTGTGATAGCCCTGTGAAAGGGGGTGGGGGACAGAATTCACAAAGGCCTACATGTCTGTATGACACTGAGAAGTGGGAGTGGGGAGCTGAGTACTGGCTGCTCTCTAGATGACTTTCCTGAGAAAGACTGAGTCCAGGGCCAAACCTAACATGTGATCAGGACCCACTCTATTGGCACCACACCCTCCCCCTCCTCTTCCCTTCCAGGTGGTAAAGAACAGCGCAGGCCTGAACTTTGTAGTGTGTGGTTACTCACTGACTTTGTTGGCTAACTTGTTTCTACGCAAAACTGGTATTAAGCAGGGTTCTAAAGAAACAAAAGGCAGGGCATGCCCTAAAGGCCTCTACATGGACAGGAGGTGCTAAAACAAAATTACACAGAGGCCTCCACATGCTAGACCCCTCCCTCAGTCTCTCTCCTTTAACCCTGCAAGCAGCTCTGCCCTATCACCCTGTTCCGCAGATGAGGAATTTGAGGCTGTGTTTAAGTGCCAACTGATGAAGGTCACAGGACCTAGTGGGGACGTGGCTGGGTTTTAGCTCCAGGCACCCCTGCCTCCAAAGCTGGAGTTCTCATGCACCCTTTGATACAAGTGCTCTCTTAATGTCTTTGTGTCCAGCATGACAGGCGCAGGCTGGGGCAGCAGGGATATCTTGGTAGAAGCAGTTGGAGCTCAGCCCTGACAGGGCAGTGAGAGAAGAGTTGACACATCAGTGAGGCTGGACTGTGTGTGTGTGTCCAAGGTCTCTGGCTTAGCTGATTGTGTGGACTGTGGCAGGAGGTATGAGCCCATGCTATGCGCCAGCCAGCGGCCAGTGTCTGCACCTCTGCCCTCTCTGAGCTTTTCCTCATGTAGGGGATACAGGAAGTCTACACACTCACACTCCATGTCAAAGCAAGAGGGAAAGCAATAAAGTTTCCTAAAAGTCTAAAATGTTGGGAAATGGTTTGTAGATCCAATATATCAGCAGCTAAAACCACTCTCCAGGACAAAGGACATAGAGGGGTGTTGAAAGGTAGGGAGACTAACCAGCCCGTGAGATGTCAGATTCCCACCTCTAACAATTCTCCATCTAAAGCAGTTCAATGGGGAAGAAGACAGAAGACTATCGGTGCGCCAACACTCACACCTCATTACTACTCTCCTTTGTTTAAATTCCAAGGCTCAGAGGAGGACCTAAGTAGAGACTTAAGAGGACTGTCCCACCAAGAAAGGTCTGTCAGAGAATTGGGATGGGCTGAATTCTTAGATGCAAGCAAGAGAAAACATTTGGTCTGAGAATCAAGAAGCCAGGATGAGTGCCAAATTGACCTGGGAAAAGACGCTCCAGGCTCTCGATGGAGGTTTCATGGGGAGGGATTATGGGGAAATAAGGACAGAAGAAACAAGGAGCCTGATACCAGGGATGAAACTCAGACTGGATTATGTGAAAATGGAAGAAACAGGAAGACCTGGTTATAGAACAGGAGAGAACAGAAGGGGCAATGCTGTATCCTGTTCACTCCTACCACTTCCAAAAGATGACGAGAGGGATAAGGTGAAGGAAGTGAAAATTATCCCAGGCAACTGCCCTCCACAAATCATGCTCAAGATAACCTGAATTTTTTTTACAATTTGGAAAAAATTTATGCTCTGAACTTCAGACAGATCTTGGCTTGAAACCATCAGAAGTAAAAGCAATGTTTTACATCAATGTTGTTTTTATTTTCCCCCTGCCTTCCTCCCAACATTTCTCATTTCCCACGGAGACCCAGAAACTCAGCTTATCAAGATCAAAGAAAGGAGAAAAGATTATCATAATCATTAATGAGCAATGTGTGTGAAGAACTTTTCATTCGCCACCTACAATTCCTTTCAGAAAAAAGAAGGGTAGAAATAAGTTTAGTTAAAACACACTCATACCCAGCTGGCGTGGCTCAGCGGTTGAGCATCCACCTAGGATCCAGGATATTGTGGTTTGATTCCCAGTCAGGGCACATGCCTGGGTTGTGGGCTCAATCCCCAGCAGGGGACGTGCAGGAGGCAGCCAATCAATGACTCTCTCCCATCATTGATGTTTCTATCTCTCCCTCTCCCTTCCTCTCTCTGAAATCAATAAAGATATATTTAGAAAACAAAACACACAACATTTGGTCAAGTCTGTCACTGGTCCTGGCTAAGTGACTTAAGCATCCTGGTGCCCCTGTGAGAACGTGCCGATGTGAGAAGGCTGTCTTGAGAGCACTGTCCCTCTTGAGAGGACTGTCTCCTGCGAGGGCCAGGCAGAGGGCAGGACTAGTGCTTTCAGTGGAAATAATCAGGGAGAGGAATTCTGGCTCACTCCAAAGAGGAAATGTCTTACCAGAGGAGGGTGCCTGACAAGGCACCAAGTTCCCCTCCCTGGGGATTTGCAGCAGAATACAGACAGCCCTTGGCAGGTGGGACGCTGTAGAAGCAGCATAGTATAGGGCAGGCAATCACAGGCCTGCCACTCAGGCAAGCCCTTCTTGCTCAGAGTTCCTATAGCTTCCCCTCATATATCAAACTGGGGAAATAATCCCTCTCTTTCCTCCTCACAACAATATGATAACAAGAACTGACACAACACAACAGCCTGGACACTTCACATAATGTAAGCACAAATACAGCACACTCCATGGTACTTCAAGTATTTCGAAATACTCACAGGCCTCCTATGTAGGATGAGGGCCACAGTGGCATCCGGGGAACCACACCTACCTGAGGGATTGCTGTGATCCCAATGATTTGCTGGGCGAAGCTGGGAGAGGTGACATGCCCTCCCTGAAATCTGGATCTTCTATAGTAGAAACCTGGCCTCAAAGAGGGCTCCCCCAAGCATCAGGCCACAGGAGAAGGAACAGCTCAGGACTACTGACTCTACCCAGGCCTGACTGCCCAACCCTCAGGCCACTGGGGCAATCAAGAACTCCCAAGGCTAAGAAGGAAGGAGGGGGAAAAAGAAACTGAATCATAAATACAGGATTTCCACCTAGCAAATGACCTTAGTTATTGTTGCCAGCCCTCATTGAATGTGAGGCCGAGATGTTTACGCAGCTAGTGAGAGGCAGACAGATGTCAGAAGCCAAGCTTCCTGCCCTTCACCCAGGCCGCCATACCCCACTGTCTATCAAAATCCCCAACACCTCTCCTTTCTCCCAATACTTTTTCCTTTGCTGTCACTGAGAAAAGCAGGCATCTTGGCCCAGGTAAACTGGAATCCCAAGAAGGAACAGGCAGGAGGTGAGGTAACTCTGAACAGGTCTTCTTTAGGTGGGTACAGAGCCCGGAAATATAAAGGGCTAAGGGATGGCAGTCAGAAAAAATTGTCATCTTAAAGAGGAGGAGAGAAGACTAGGATATAGCACAGGAAGGAGCAGCCCAGTGCTCACTCCAAGAAATGGAGCTCCATCTCCATAGAACACTTGGCCCTAGAGGCTTTGACTCTTAAACTTTTCTCCCCGCATCTTTTTTTTTTAAATATATCTTTATTGATTTCAGAGAGGAAAGGAGAGGAAGAGAGAGAGATTGAAACATCAATGATGAGAGAGTCATTGATCGAGCCCATAACCTGGGCATGTGCGCTGACTGGGAATTGAACCCCGAGTGCCTGGATCCTAGGTCCACCCTCAACCGCTGAGCCATGCCTGGCCGGGCTCCTCCCCGCTCTTTAAGTGGCTGACTAGAGAACCCTGAGGGCCAGAATCCCTCAATCTAGGTTCTTGGACCATATACCTTTCCACAACTTGATGACCCCAGGTATTATTTAATAACAACAAGATGAGACAAATTCAGGGTAGGCTTTTAATTAAGGCCATCTAAGGCTTTGCCAGCACACTAACACAATAAAAGAACAGAGCTTTTCTCTATGTAACAATTATACACGCATATCCAGCAATGTCAATGTTACTGTGTTATATGTACATGGCCCTGGACAATTTTCAAAACCTTTCGTTTCCTTTGCTCCTTTTAACAACCCGTGAGGGCTTGGAAAGCTAGTTATTCCCATGTTGCAGGTGAGACAACATGGCAGGTATTAGCCAACATATATATCTAGGGTTGTACACAAGAAAGCAAGAGCTAGAACACAAATCCTACTGATGCCCAGTCTTGTGTCTGTTCCTCTGCTCTTTCCATGAGGTTTCATGGCCTAAACTCCCTTTCAGAGGAAAGAGAGACAATTCAGGAGGTTATATAGACCATCTCCAACCCACCCCCTCAACGCCCTTTCAGCTCTTCAAAACATAACAGCCTGCCTCTGCCTGGGTAATCCACTTCAGAGTCTTAGTTTAGCCCCAACTGACTTGGAATCCTATTATCTCTGGGTTGGAAAGGCCCTTACAGGTAATCCAATCCAACCTCCCTTTGGAGGGCTGAATTCTTTCCCTGTTCTTGGCCTAACCTCATAATTGCTATTGCTCACAACCAATTACAAGGTACTCCTGCCTGGATGAGGAGTGGCTGGGAACAAGTCTGCACCCCGAGAGAGTGAAGGAGAGGTGAAGCTTCCTGTGTTACCCAGCAGGGTAAGGGTACTCATCCGGAAGTGTCACCATACTTGTCCCACTCAACACTTTCTGCAAATGAGCAGGAAGAAACAAACCGGGAAATGAGACAAGAACCTTACCTTTCTTCTCTTCTCTTCTCTTAGCTGCTCCCCTGGAGATCATCAAACCCCCATCCAGCACGCCATTTCCAAAACTGAGAATCCCAAATCAAGGACACCAAAGTTCAGTTTCTCTCCTTTTATCCGAGTCCAAAGTCCATGGCTGAGTGTACTCTGAGGGGGAGGAGATGGGGGGGAAGGGGTATGTCCAGTCCCCTCCCCCCCCAACACTGCAGGCTTCAGTGTCCCTCCCAAGGGTCTGTTATAGCCCTTCATTCAGCTGGCTTATTAAGCCCAGAGTCTGGTAATGGGCAGATCCCAGGTACTACCCCATCTCTTGCTCAAGGAGGGGAAGTCATCCACTGTGAAGACCGGCCCATCTGTCTTCTTCTGGGGCTCATGAGAAGAAACAGGCCTTAGAACTGGCATGGCCCAGGAGGCTGATTTCTGTGTTAACCTGCAGAATATTTAAACATTATGATACTGCCTAATCTATTATATTCCCAAATGGATTCCTAAGACCCTCTACCTAAATTAGATCCCTTTATTATGCTCTACCACTTAAACCCCATCCTTAAACACTCCACAAGATACACAAAGTACCTACTTCACTCACATACTGCCCCACAAAACAGTCACCTCATCAATAGGCTCAGGACGAAGGAAAGATTGCACCTTTCACAACATAAAAGTCACCAAAAGCACTGACAGTGTGTGGCGACTGTCTTCTAATAAAATTTGGAAAAGAACACGCTCCTCATGTCCTCTTGTCTAGTTAGTGCCACACACTAATCGCCCTCCATCTCCCAAGCTTCTCAAGGTGTTCAGTGCTCTGTCAGCTCTCCTGGACTGAACTAAAGCCATCCCAGACCTAAATGCTGGCACCTTCCACATGCATTCTTTGCTACCTTCCCTTCACCCTCTACTCCTCGTCTGCTTCCAAAACTGAGCCAGGGATGCAATTCTTAATGGCTGTCAAACTCCTTCCCAGGGCCACTCCCAAGAGCACGCTCCTAGGAGGTCTGAGGCCTGAGTCCAGCCTGCAGTAGCCCCACAGTGTTCCAAGTCCGCAATCCGGGAGCCCACCCTGCCGCCCCTCCCCTCTAAGTTTATTCCTAAACACACAAACACACACACAAGCACTCTTATTTCCTTCCTGTAGGGGCGTGGCGTCCACAGGACACCCCCTGCCGAGAACTTAACTCCTCCCACTCCTCTCCGCGGAAACGCCGGGCTCTGTGTTCCCCGGGAAAGAGGTGACGGCGACCCTCCCTAGACTCTGACCCCCCATCCCTCCACCGCCGGAACGACCCTCGCCCTATCTGCACTGGGTCGTTACCTAGGTCCCGCCCGCCCCGTCTCGGCAAGAAGCCGCGTCCCGCCCCGGGTCGGAGTCCAGGCCCCACTCTGCGTCCCCACGGCCGGCTCAGGCCCCACCCCCTCGACCCTCAGCAGCCCGGCCC